GAATTTTCTAATATTTTATTTAATGTCTGTTTTCGCTTTCATGAAAGCTTTCTTTAGCTTCAATATTAAGGCAATTCTACGTGGGGAACATAGCAAATTAGAAGCATCTTTTGGCTATTGTTTTGAGTGCTTATGATTGGATAAGAGCTTTCAATACAAAAGAAACTTTGTTTCAAAATAGAGTTTATCCACATTTTATGTCAAAAATGTGTTACCCACAGATGGATACATAATCAGTGTGAAAACCAAGACATTCGTACATGGGGAACTTGCTATGCCGCAGAACAATAGAGAGTTCCCTAGTTCTTTAGCGCATTGTTACTTAACGCCAAAAGCTACGATACTCTTGTCATGTATGCTCACTGCCAAGATGGCCGCCTTATTGTTGAAAGGAGATTTCACGACCGTAAAGCATTATGGTTAGCGAAGTTTATTAATTAATCCAGAATCTGTTTCATGGGTTTGGGGTCCTCGCTATATTGATCATAGTTTTGTTTTGTAGGCGAAATCGGGAAAAAAAGAGCGTATGATACGATAAAGGATAAGTTTAGTGTCCTGGTTGAGCTACAGCAAATTAAAGGTATATGTAAACACGCACACGACAGATTTGTACCAATACAAACAACAATATYACAAACTACGAAATATTCACATACTGAAACAAAACGCAAATTGTTTATACGATATTTCTTTTGTTTAATTMAGATGAGAAGAACGACATCGCTGCTACTCTAGAAAGAAAAGAGACTGAAATGAAAATATTACACGGTGAGTTTTTWAAGTATTTTGAATGAAAAACTCTCAAATGAACAATAGAGGTCGAAAGRGTCAATGARAATAATGYGMTTCAGGATTAACGCCAGTTCGTTTCTTTTCTTRTCTTCTAGATGCCTATCAACAACAAGTTGCTCATGAAAGGAAAAAGCGTTTAGAAGCAGAAAAAGAGATAGAAGAATTAAAAGGTCTGACAAMTTTGAACCARGACTTAMTAGATACTCWGAGTAAAATCATCCACAAAGTCGGTATTTTAAACGTCTACTAGGAAGCCASCCTAGCAATTATGGCGGTTATTATCTAAAGTATTYATAATGCTTTACTTTTCAGCTTCAAATGCAGAGTTGTGTAAAAATCTTCAAAGAAAGGAATCAGAAATGAAGATTTTACACGGTATGTGCAAAAGTAAACTTTCCACCCTTTAAGGTTCTTAAAACGTACATAGTTATTTTCATCAGCCATTATTATACGAACAAGCTGTTGAGTTGTTTCATTGTAAAAGGSAGGAAGGGCGTTATATTTTARCTGACGCATTTCGCTATTTTCATSCAGATTCCTATCAATATCAAATGAGAAAAGAACGAGAAAAACGWCAAGAGTTGGAAAATGATTTGATAGACTTGAGAGGTAAGAATCCACAAAACTMAACGCAAATCAACTAATGCCAAAAGTTTAAAGAAGTGTTTTTTGGTTTGTTTAAAGGGTCCGTTGCGTTTGCAAGCGGAGTTGCTATCCATGATCCAAAGATCAAACAAGAAAACTTTTCTGATCCATTATAAAAGTTTCCAGGTCGACCAACGCCATCCCCAYCCCCCTCCCCACATATCMACRCCCTACTCTGTTACCCAAGGGCGCCATTGATCAAGGTGAATCAACCTTTGGCACACGARGTGGAAAACAAAGTTTGTTATAATTGTGATATTACGCATGCTCCAACGTGTTTTGTTATTGTATGGTCCCACATGGCCAATTGCCTACAGGTCAGACCTTCACTCATGGTCCTTGGTAGCTTTTAACTGATATTTATTGGCTCAATAAGRGTCCTTAGAACAGCGAATGAGTTTCCTAAATATCCTCGAGATAGGAAGTGATGTCAAGCATCACCGTGACGTCATATTGRAATATWGTYGAGCCTGCGATGCATTTGGACGTTTACAAGAGACGATTCTGACAAGTACTACCATTGTGTTTTTTAAATTTAAAAGGACTAATTTTAATGTAGGATATTTTTCAACATAGAAGAATACCATTGAAATACATGTAAACTTTTCATTTTGAGTTAAATAAATATAGCCTGCCTGTTGTTATCAAGTCTCGTACTGGTCCATCTTCCATTTAAAATCTTTCCTGATTACTGGCATTTTGGGGATTTCAACATCATCTGTCAAAGACAAGAAATTTTTAAATTACAGCAGGTTTTAAAATGGATTGAAGAAGGCTTGTATATTGTTTACACTATCCATGGTCGACTGTCATCCCTTGCGAGCTTTTTTATTATGTTTGAAAATGAAAATACATCGTACAAAATTCAAAAATTTACTCTTTATTATCCCTATAAGCCGTGTGAATGGAGATATTTTAAGATTCGTCCTTAAAATCGACGTATAGAAGGGATTGCGAGCGATATTTGAAGTCACCTCATTAAGATGTAAAAAAACACCGCAATGAATTCTGGTTGACTCTGACCCTTTCATGCTCAAAATAACTTTCTCACCTCGTTTTGATGGTTGACTGACATCTCCGTTCTGATTCATAGCTGCAATAATACTATTGACTGTGGCACCTGGCCCAGTTACCTGCCCGAGAAGGGACTGTTCAGTACAACTATTYAATACAACTCGTTAAAATRTCAGCAGTTTCTTACCGCACTAAGATTAACAGCTGTCTGCTGCTGGGCTACCWGTGGCGGCCATATTTCGACTAGTGATCTCTCAAASAGACTTTCTATTTYACTGTATTCCTTTTGAAGATTAGACGCTTCGTTGTCGAACTCGAAGAGAGATAAACTTCTCAATAGGGAGCATATATCCTCTAAAGAAATGAATGAAAACATGCATGAATAAATGAATGGATGAATAAATGGCTGGATAAACAAAAGAATAAATGAATGGATGAATAAATGAATGGATGAACGAATAGTCATTATTATACCTTTAGATTTGTCTGTCTTAGTGACGATTTCACCAAGCTCGAACATTAATGCCAAATCTTCATTTTTACTTCCTTCTTTAAGACTATATTTTTTACGCTCGTTCTTTCGACGATTCTTGGAAGACCTCCTGTAAGAATTACAAAAAAGAACTTGGAGATGAACCGTTATCGTGTAAACCAGTGTTTTTTAACGGGATGGTATCATTGAATTCGTACCCTGTCGATCGTGTCCCTTTGGAGCCCACACTGGAACCATATCCAGACACGCCCGTCATACTACTGGTGTCAGAATAGATGTCTGCATCTGTGTCATCACGAAGGGTACCACTCTCTGAAAGACAATAATGTCGTGCTTGCCGTTGTAATGTCATCACTATCATTATCTTAATCATCAGTATTCCATAATTGTACCTAGTATTTCTAAACGTTCCCTCTCCTTCGTCTCGCGAACTACTCGAAGTCGTTCGTTGTACTTGGTGAAGGTCTCGTAGCTATGCTCAATCGATTCACAATGCATTTTATAACCTGCAATGGAAAATAGCGTAGAATAGGCAATGTACAACTACGCCATTTTGTGCAGCAAAGCATGATGGTAGTTTTTGTTCTCGTACTTATTTTAATAACACCCTAAAATATCTCCCAAAAAGTCGTTTTTATGTTTTCTTTGAGGAAACGCTAAAACTACTTCTATTTTTAATCAGAAAAAGCAAAAACTGCTTAGAAGGACTGTTGCTGTACAAAATGGCGTCACCGCACATCGCCTATTGTGTGAATGTACATCTAAATAATACAAAAACTAAACACAAAGCTAGACATGTGACAAGGAACAAGGACCAAAGAAAGTTACTYATTAAGTGATCACTTCATTAAATAATAATTCAATGGAGAAAAGTAGTAAAGTACTTTAGAGTGGCTGGAACATCCGGCCAATCTAGCTCGTATACCCAGTCACGCAATAAGTTTCCGAATGTCACGCAATGTGTTMCCTTCGGTAAATCTTCGTAAAGTGTTCGTGACGGGTTCGGGATTCGGTTGATCTTCGTCGGGTGGCCGTGGGGGCTTGGGTACACAACCGATGCACCCCAAAGTACTTTACTACTGAGAAACACGCAGAAAACCTACAAAGAGCTATGTACCTTCTTTTAAGGCAGTCTTCAAGTGTGTTTCGATGATATCAACTCGATTGTGTTTATAAATCTGCAGGACAAGAAGTCAATGTTAATATATGTTATAATTCAGAAAAACCTTGTAGACAATATTTCTACATTAGAGATGTAAGGAATTGTCGAAATTATAGACACCTTTATATATAACAAACACCTCTTCCAGTACAGCCTTTTGCAAAAATTATGAGAATTGTCGAAATATCGAAATATCATAATATCAATTGCATGATGGRTAATCCCGCGCGATTCCCTTTGTCCTTTGTCTTTGTAGTTTAGTTTTTTTCGGCGGCGACGGACTTATCCGAAGTTCTGAACATTTTCTCGATGTCAACAATGAATTATTCTAGCAAACCCGCGTGTTCGGGACAAAGGGCTGCGCGCGGGATTACCCATCATGCACTTGATATTATGATATTTAGATATTTCGACAATTCTCATAATTTTTGCAAAAGGCTGTATACTACAAACACCTCTTTATCTCAGACACTTTCCAGTGTTCCTATATTGTCAATAAAACCAATTAAAGGCTTTTTAACCCGAGAGAAAATACTAACCATTCTCAACGATTCATCCCAATGACTGCCTTCAACAAGAGCCACAATTGCTTCTTCAGGATCCTTAGGATTAAAAGCGTATGAGAAAATGACAATAATAGGCTAAAGATATTACAGTAGCAGAGGATTAACGTTATCATACGGTACGAGGATATTTTCCACTCATATTACATACATTGGCATAATCTTCTAAAATCCTTGCAGCCTCAGCATGGCGTCGATGTTCTTTCAAATAACCTGGTATATTAGAAAACATTCTTCAGGACAGTTGTTATTTTTCATCCTTAGTACTATATATTGCTTAAGAGAGGACATTAAACTGAACCTTGAAGCAAAATATAATACTCAGGGTGGAATAGCCCAATGGACATAGAAAAAAACATTGGAAGTAGTGCCTGCAAAGGTATCATTCACTATATCATAACAATAGGATCGACCACGATTGCTGTACTGACTTACCAGCAAGCTTCCTGGCCATTTCTATGGTACTATCACGTGACAAATCAAGCTGAGCAGCCATACAGAAGGCCTGCTGCCAATGACCTTTCTTGAGGAATGCGTCCATAGCTTGACCATGAGCACCACATCGCGCAAACACTAGAAATATCAGATCAAGATGTCAAAAACAACAACAACAGCAACAACAACAACAAMATCAGCAAATACAATATCAACAGTAATAATATAAGGAGCAGAGACAACAACAGCACCAAAAAAATAGCAAGTCTTGATACTATGGAAAATACAATTGATTCGAGTTTTGCTCGTCCATTTGTGAGAGTGCCCTCGGAAATCGTAAAAAAATTCAATGATAAAGTCTAATTATTATACTTCACTCAAAGAGCTAMGTTTTTTGATAAAAACTTACCAATGCCTGCTTGCTCATAATTCTTTGTATTCATGAGATGTTCACCATAAGAAATAGCTAACGTCTGGAGAAATTAAGGACAATAAAGTTTAATCCTGTATTCATGCCTTCTCTCAGTTCAAAATCCTTTGCAGACAAAGGACTCAAAGCGGAGAGAATAAAGCGTTAAACCAGATAACATTCTTAGTTTCTCTGAGAGTCAAACCTTGTATTCTTCACTGTTTCGAGGAAATAAACCCAGAGCTTCCTTATATARGTTTTTCTCTTCTACCAGATGGTGTAACTCGTTAAAATGTTCATTACCTGAAAAAGATAATCAAGTATCCCTTTAATTGTGTGCACTTTTTTACGGTTTTATCGAGAAAAGAATGGCAAAATCTTGATTTGGTGGAGAACCCGTGTACSTTCACTTACCACATTTACTGAGATGATGGAGTGCTTTGGTGAATCGTTTGAGATACTTGTCTATSGTGTATCGTTGATAATTGACCTCCATTTTACGCAAATTGTTCAAGAATGGTAGATACTCCTTCGGATCCTACGATCAATAAYACAATGTACGACAATTTACGATGTGTAATTCAGCATGTTTAACAAATCAAAGCCAATGAATCAAACATACATTCAAATTCGGAGAGATTGAGAGAAAAGCTCACATGTGAATATACCTACTTGCAGAAACGTTGTCACAGAAAATAGAACATTTGAATTTAGTAAAAAGGAATAAATTAAAACAAGACAAAAGAAAGCGTTAAGCCTCAGTGATCTTCTTTTGTCTTTTTTAATTTATTCCTTTTTGACTAAATACAAATGTCCTATTTTCTATGACAACGTTTTCGCAAGAAGGTGTATGAACCGAACAACATCAGGCAACGTGACAAGTGTCAGTGCAATGTTTCCCATCAAAAGAACGGAATTCCTTAAAATAATGCTGTGTGCTGTGATCGTGCAAAGGAGTTTTCATGATCAAGCGAAATGTACTCTTTAGAGGAACCTTAGTGCCCACCTTTTGCGATTTCTCTGCCACCATGAGCACAAGCTGGAAGTCGTACATGCCTAGTGCTACGTCATACAGTTGATTGACGTCAACTAGGAATATTACATACTTTAAAGCCTCCTCTGACGTCACACACTTGTCACCATCCACCATTGGTTTATCTGATGTAATAAGTAGAATTGACATCATATAAAACGTGATTCATACCGGAGACTTTCTGCACTGCTGATTGGTAAAAACAGTAACACAATTCTATTTTAAAAACTGACTCTCGTACATGAGTTGTAAGCTCCTTGTAATAGGCTAATGGCAAGGTTCTAAGAAGCAACATTAACAACAACAACAAGTACAACAACAACAAGGACGACCACAACAACAGCTACTGAAACAACAACAACACAACCACTCCAACAACATTAAGAATTATCATTATCATCATCATCATGTGACGTAGGGGAAAAAGTTAGTTTTTGATCTCTTGGGAGCTAGAATCCATCTTGCGTCCCACGGGCTGCTTTCCCATCATCAGCAAGGCTTATYAATATAGTTCTGCCAAGCATCAATTCCCATCATTTTTTTAATAATTAAAACTACTATAGTAGTAAAAATACCTCTAAGGTCTCTGATAATCCCAAGCACTSTCTCCAGCTCAGGATCGGTCTTACGTACGTACGACGTCAGAATAGTTAGCAAATATCTACAGAAAACACACTGTTTATCAAACAGTATTACGTCAACACCGCGRGAACTATTCAAATCACGTGACGATTCAYGCTTTTGGTCATGACACACAAGATAATCATGTGACTTAATTCGCAATTCATAATTTTGTGCTTTGAATTCTGGGTGCGTTCGTGAATGGACATCAATGAACATACCGTTGCTTGTCGACGGCCTCTAGTCCTCCTYTGACAGCATCACAAATRATATCAACTTTGTTTGTTTCGTCACAACAACTACGAATAAAGGTAAAAAATGATTGAGTAGAGCTACATTTATGATTAAAGAGACGGTATGTGAGAAAAATGAAACCAAAGGTGTAGTCAAACCTCTTTGCAGTGACCTGCAAAAGAAAGTGTTTTATATTTTTAGTACAGTAACTGTATTTAATAAAGGTATTTTACCTGGTCTTTTGATCTTGATAAAAGCCTGAATACATCGTTGTTGTGACATCTTCTTTCCTGACAGATGTAAAACATATGACTGTGAAGGTTTCTAAATTACAATCTTAAATGAACTATGACAGACTAAGACGCAAAGGAAAAGGTTAGTTTGTACTTACTTGAGATCTGACAAAAACAGATTAAGGAAGTTCACAGAATCGACTTGACGAATGAATATTTGGACATTGTCCATRAACAGCTGTTATAAAAAAAATGAATTTCAAGAATAGGAATGAATTTCTTGCGAACAAGAAAAAATGCACCTAAGGTCACCATTACCCCTCATTCCATATAAATAGCCCGTCCCCCAAGAGATCTCTTGTGCCTACCTTCGGATTGTGATCATATATCAGGTTGAGGTTGATCCGATGTCGTCGCATCGTTTCAAACGCGTCGTTATAATGACAACTAAACACAAAAAGAAAGACGACAAATATCAGTAGAGTTAAAGAAAAAATATGTTTTAATTTCCACTCCTATTGGACTGAATGAGAGGTCGATTACTTACTTGTTGAGAGCCTTTTGTAGATATGATATTACCAGGGCTCTTGGGTGAATCGTTTCCAGATTACCGCGAGGCATCTTTAAAAGAAATGGAAATTGTCACAAGTCACGCAATGCAAGTTATTGCATTTGTTAAACTAAAGTTGGATGATGGGTGTGACAATAAGTTTGTATCTCGAAATGGAAACCAAAATGTAATATACGTACCTGTAGGACAACCTTTGTATCTTGAGCTGTAGCGACAACAATCCGTGAACCACGTTCAACTCTTCTAACATTCTCATCCATTGGATGTGACTTMTCCTCTGTCAGGGCTGGTAATCCTGGAAACACAGGGAATGCATGTAAATGCTACACTTACAAAGATACCAAAGATGATTTGAGTTGTGATGACATATAGAAGTCGACATATACACAGACAGACAGACAGTTACTGATGCAGGATCCATTGACTGTACCTTTGCTGTCCGGTAGAAGGCTTATRCATCKAAGAGTGTGYGCATGYGTAGAGAGAAGTAARAACTCTTCGTGTTTGGCAAATGAAGTGCAATTTGARGCAATCTGTGKTCAAAATATAAAATRARTATTGTGCAGTTCTATCATCAGCAAGGGTTCACTGACTTTGTGTTTCAGAAAGAAGCAAGCAGCAGAGTGTTTCTCTCTCACCTCTTTATCATTAACATACAATCTTGAATGGTCTGTTAGCCCAAGGACGATCTCCTATCAAATAAGCAATGGTTATTAATATCTTATTTCTACTTTCMTAATCAAAAATAAACCAGCCAACCCAWCGATCAAATAACAATTAAATCAATAAAACATTTCCTTTAATTTCTTTCCTGTGCWTACCTCATCTCCTATGCAKKCTGTCTTTATCTGAGTRCATGGTTGAGGTAAAGCTATAGGTTCTCCTTTCCTACTTATCAGAGGACTCAGCTGGATCCCATTAACGTCTATAGAGATTGAAAGTACATGTACTAAGACTCTTAGTGGAGATACCAATGAAGATGAGTGTCTATCATATTCCAAAACTATGAATATGAGGACCGCATGGCACCATGATAAACATGACATAGAAATAAAGGAAAGGAATAGTGCTTAGAAGGAAGTTATTCCGGATGAAAGACACTTGGAAATAAATTGGGAAAAATTAATTTCTGACCTCTCTTGGATTCGAACCCATGACTCTCTTTTTAAGCACTATTCCTTTCCGTTATTTCTATATCATATTCCAAAACTATCAATTTGAGGTTGCAATGGACTTATTTCGAAAAAAGGTCAAATACATGTCTGTTAATTTTTTTTCTGAATTAATAGTGAGAGAGGCTTCAAGACAAGGGACAAATGTAGACATTGGAGTCAAAGGATATATTAGCAGCAAATCTAAGTCATATTCTTTAATTCAGAAAATCTAACGATTCAATAACCTGAAGTCATCTTCATAATAGTTCCATCATTTAGCTCTATYACAAGTGAACAAGTATCTGGATTGGAGTACATGCGAAGGACTGGTTGATCTGCTTGTTTACAATGACTGAAAACATAGTAAACATCAAAAAGAACAGCAAACTTACAGAGTAATTAACCTACTGTAATACCATCATGTTTAATTCCGACCATGAACCAATTCAAACAAGTTTTAAAACCAGTTAGTGACAGGACAGGAAGCCCGACAAAAGGGAAAGCTGTGAAGGAGACTAAAAACCAGCATTTTACCTGATTTTAATGCTGTGTTTTCCAGTTTGATCAACATGGATGTCAAGCTGACAGAGAAGATCCTTCTGTTCAATAACGTCCCAACCAACAACTACAAGAACATTTTCCTGCCACCAAGTTAAATGATGCAGTGCTAATGGGCCTTTCCATAGGCCTGTTACCTCACTAAAGTCAAGACTAGGAAGATAATTATAATACAATATAAATGTAATGAAAGTATGCATTGTGCTTGTATTTATTAATCTAAATTTATTACATGATTGAGTCAGTTTTCTTTGATATTCAATATTTGAAGAGCTCTATCTCTCATAATATCCTAGATATTATGTGTTCAAGTGCTTTATAGATATTGCACTCAAGTTCAAGGGATTTATTCAGATATTGTGAAAAGAACATTGATCATAACATTTGGCATCACAAATGGAACACTTGATCAATACCATTTAAACTTACTTAAATGAGCCAATAACCCTTGGGGGRTCCCCAGGTGGRACAAAKCCATTYTTCTGGGAACCATCCAYTAATGYTATRCTGCCATCAGATAACAGAACAGCCATGTTGCAACATGAGKGGGGTGGGGRGAAYGCAATSGCTTGTACAGGTGATTGCAAGGTAATGGTATGTGCTGCCATAGGAGGTGGTACCACCATGTGACGCATGGGCGTTAAAAGAAGATTGGCTAAAAATAGTATAAAAGAGAATAAATGAATGGATAGGTGGGATGTACGATACATAAATGGGAAAATAGATGGATGTGCTCATGAATAAAGGAACACGGATGTAAAAATATCCAAAGAAATGGGAGAATGAATGAATGAAAATAATTAATGAATACAAGGAATGGTAACTTAGACAATTGAATCTAATGAATCCCATTATMTTTCCCAGAAGGCTATGAAATATGATCACCATTTCACAGGCAACCCAGGCATTCAAAATCATGCAAATAATGAAAAATCATGAAAAAATGACATGATCTATTTCCCRCAGGACAGGAATGAAAAATGGATGAAAAAATGGAAGAATAGGTTGGATGAATGAATGCCATGTCTCTSTGAAGYAAAATACACTTATTATAATTTATACCTCCATCAATGACAGCAACAGTTGATAAATTTGACGATGAGTTTCCTTCGCTGTAGGATGTTGCCCAGCACCACTCATAGCACACATATTGTCCACCTAAAACACAAAAAGTGACTTTTATAATATCTACAATGCCATAATAAAACACAGGATGGGAAAGTCGTTACCATACAAGAGTATTCCCAATCTATTTTGCTATCTAAATACCTTCGCAGACAACATGAAGTCTCAATGCAATCTCAGGRTCCCAAACAAAACATGCCACTTTGTCTTTTGTTGCATGAAAACACAACTCCTGCTTCAAATACCAGTGATAATTATTGACCGTCCAAAGCTGAACTAAAAACAATTCAAAAAACATCAAACGATTAATGAAATGATTATAAGGTAATGCAAGTTGGACTCGTTTGCATCTTGTTAACCTCTGGTAATGGGATGCAAAGTAGWCGTGATACAATTACATGTAAGTGTACGGATATTTTGAGTGTAGGACTAAAGAACACTGCCAGGAGGGAACTAGCTTCCACAATTCTGAATTATACCAAAGCATCTACCCAACTTGAAATCACATACATTTATTATTAGATTTTATTAAAACTCATCTATAAAGTGCTTACTGTATGACTTTGGGATAGCTTCAGGGTTTTCTTGTGATGAAATGCTTTCCAACCAAAGAGCCAGCACTGTCGAGTCGTTATTCCATTGTAGCTCATTTACCTAGAATGGAAATTTGGTTTGGCATGTTTTACATTAAATGACACTCAACTAAAACAAGAATTGTGAGTGAAGACCATCATGAAAACAATCTTCCAACTAGAAACCAAGGAACCTATTGTGGTATTTTTCTTTTTTTGCCTTGAAAATGACTTTATCTAACACTGCACCATTGTGGCACCATTGTACGTACATCTAACTATCTGATAGCACGGGCATCCTAACTTAATAACATTTTGTTAAAAATCCTGTRAATGAAGAGTCTGAGTATACACATGTATTACCTTGACCTCCATTCTCTGAAAAGGAAGTGAAAACTCTCCATGCTGAAGGCCATTTTTCTCRAAGAAGATGACATCATGTCGGTGAGGTTTTCTTTGAGTTGATGCAATAAGATTTCCAGAAGGCCTGGAAGGATTCAATATTCAATATGAAAACTCAAGAAGGGTTTGAAACATCAAATACTCACAAGCATTTTATGTAAAAAACAAGTAATAAGTATGCATAGTTAAAGAACAAGATTCCATGTCAGACTGAAGTAAGTTGTTGCCATAATTTAGCACAATAGTTTGTACAATTTATGTTACTTATTTATGTTGTGTTTGTACTTAAGATTTACAGTTTTGAACTAAAAAAAAAAAGGAATAGAGCGGATTTCGTATGAATGGGACACCGTTACATCCGCTCTATCAAAACTCAGTGACGTACTTCCAGCATAAAGGTGCTTCTAGTCCATCAACATCTTCACTGCTTGTCATYAGAACCCCTTCTCTGCTCCATACACGAAGCTTACGYGCACCTATAACAAAACAATGTCATTGCCCATTAGTAGAAAGATTGTGAATTTATTTGCTTGGGCTATAGCCTACCTGTTTCAGGTTCTATAGCACTGACAACAAAGAACTGTCCATCTCCCCGCCAACTAATATGACATTGTCTGTCATCCCAGTCAAATGCAGGTTTGACATCCTAGAAACAAATTATAAAATAAAAAAAAATTCATATTTGAGTGAGCTGCATCCAGTTTTTCTGAGAAAACTACTATACATCGCATACAACTGGTTTTAGTGTTTCTGTGGTTGGTTTTCCAACTGATCCATGGAATTGAGTCTCTTTCTTTCCCCAACCAACATTTACTGGTCTGTCTAAAATACCAAATTAACAATCAATATCTAGACAGTAGCATATATTTGCTGCTGCCATTAATTGTAAATAAAGTAAAATAAAAATTAAAAAAACAAAAAACAAAAAAACAATCAATATCAATAACCATCATCAATACCATCATCATAAACATTATCATCATATAATAATGTTATCATTGTAATCATTAACATTGTTATCATTATGTGAAATTGGATCAATCAATGCTATTACATGTACTTGACGTATTCTTACCTTCTCCAAATTCACTAGTATGAATTGGAAATTCACTTATCGGATCAAAGTCTCTGGTCATCATAATCAGGGTATTTTCACCTAAAACATAAGATTACAAGATATCAAATGAATCAAGCAATGCTGATCTTAATTAAGAGTTTTGTTTCATATCTTATGTACAACATTACTAATCCGAAAGATGGGAACTGTTTGGTGCAAGATCACATTTATTTGTACAAACAGTCTCAAGAATAGGTTCCTCCATAGTCAACTTTTGACTTGTCTAAATCCCTCTCTGGTTGTCACGACAAAGGAAACCCAATGTTCACCARTGGAGCAAAGAAAAAAAAAACCAATCATATTCTACCACAGGAAGCTAAGASATTTATCTCTTCTATCAATAACACAGGAATCCCATGCTTTACTTGGATGATACCTACCGGTTGAGAAGACAACTAACTCATGGTCAGGACTCCATGACATACAGGTTATACCACTATCAACACTACCAACACATTCAAGCTGAAATACAATAACATTATAGATAATCTACGTTGTCTCTTGCTATTCGTGATTACATTTAAATCTTTGTTGCTTAAATTGGACTATTCGTTTTACCTGATATATTTATTTTATGATTCATGCCTGTTAATAAAATTTTAATTCCCTCTCCTTGCTCATCYGTCTTCATAAGTTTTATTTGATCATTCATTCATCTATTTGTTCATTCGTACATTTTCCCACTTATCTCTTATCTCTTTTCCAACTTATCTCTTCATTCGTTTAATTTATCCAACACTCTTATTCATTCATTATTTCATCCATATTTTATTCATCATTTCTTTATTCAATTCCAGTYATTATTCAATCAATCAAACATTTGTTCATCCATTCATTTATTCCCATTTATTCATTTTTCCATTCATCCTCTCTTTACTCAACTTCTACAATTTCTCAACACAACAGTCAATATACACATGTCTACATGTTGAACTGTACCTCTTCAGTCATTGTATTATATAATATGACATCACCCRACAATGTAGCTGTACACACAGAATCAATATCAGGAATGTGTTGGATACCAACAACTTTACCCGAACCATCTGATGGCAAATAGTTATCTRTGACCAGTGATACATTTTTGGTGACCTGAAAAAAAAATCATTTTTCATGATATACAGTATGATACATATTACGGACAGAATAAACCTGAAATGTGTCTGGATATTAGATATGTTTTTGTAACTCCCAAGTTTTGCTAAAAATTAATAAAAATCGAAAATATAATTGAATAACAGTGAATTTTAAATGAAGACTGCTTGTGGWTTCAGATTGAAGGTCTTTATACAATATTCACAATGAATGTTAACATTGATACAAACATTTAAGACATATTTTAGACGTTCATGGTTTTATTCAAATGTTTGTAACTACATGAAAGATATATCACATGTTAATGCAGTAATTACTTGTTGATTGGTGGGCGATAATCCTACAATAGATGTACAAGTAGCTGTATAAACGGTGCCTGTATCACAATCAACTGTTAAACAGCAAGAACCACGGCTTTCATAGAGCTCCGTTACAGGAATGCGACGCAACAGCTCAAGGTTTCTCATATCTTACAGAATCTATGCACACAAAAATTATGGTAAAGTTAGGAACAATTTCRATACATTTAAGTTTAAGTAGTTTATAAACAAAGGTTCATTTGCATGTCAGCTGTTATCCAAATTTTATTAAACTATAATGCAATTGAATAAGATAAAAAATAATAAAAAGAAGCTCTTTACCTTCAATATGTTGGTATCATTTGGTATAGAAACTTTCAAAACAAGCGAAAAAGGATTAAAGACAAAAAAAACACAACTTTATATGACAAGAACTTTTTCGCCATGTGAGTTCACTTTTACACTGCGATGAGAAACCGCTGACTTTTAAAAGAAGGGACTGGGGCGACCAATAAGAAAAAAATATGTTTTTGTGTTTTTTTTTATAAATGTTTTCTCTTTTGGACTAAATGAGCGGTAGTTTTCAGATGTATGGTGGCCCAGCAGTATCACCCTGTTTTCTGTTGAAAATTTTTAAATTCTAAACAATTTATCATTTTAATTTGAAAATAATCTCAAATACAAATCAAAAATGAAATAAAATCTGTTTNGGAGAAGGGAAACAAGAGGTTTCCTACGCGAATAATGAAGTATCAAGAGAGTTGGTGAAATATCTCAAGCAGCAAAATGTTGAGCTCCCTCCCATCGCCTCCAAGCTGCAAAGCCTACAGAAGCAAATGGGTGATTTGCTACAGAATTCCAACATAAATACTGACCAGAAAGCACGCCAATATGTACAACTTCAAAATAACTTTTTACAATACAAGAAGAAATTGCAACCAAGCTCTCCTTTCCCGCAAGCTACTTTGGCAACTGTCGAGCCACCAACTCACTTTATACCTCCTGAACCTGAACCTGACAATGAAGATYCTTTTGTGGAGCCCCCGGCACGTGATTCAGCGGAAGTATCAAGTGAAGACGATGATCAACCGTCATCGCCAGTAAAATTTATCATTTAAAATGATAAGCGCAGTCTCACCAAGCCCGCAGTTTCAATCTTCTGCGCTGCTAACGCCACTATCCACTATATCTCCACCTAGAAAAAAACGTAAGAGACCCCGATATCCAATCAAGAATTATTTGGATAGCGATTCTCACAAAACGTTTGGTCCTTTTTCAAGCGCCCATAGATTAAGGCGATCACAACGAATAAGGGGCAATCCTTACAAATGGTCAAAGTTAGAAGTGTAAGCCATCTTTCTTAAGATATATTGTAATCACTGATGATTGAAAAATAAAAAACTGAAATAAATGATTGCGTTGTTGTTGCTTATTTTAAAATGCTGATTAAACAGGAGCTCATTCTCTGGGCAGCTTCGGGCCATTTCCGGTCAGCTTCGGGCCATTTCCGGTCAACTTCGGGCCATTTCCGGTCAGCTTCGGGCCATTCGGACAGCTTCGGGCCTTTCCGGGCTTTTCCGGACCTTTCCGAGCCTTTCGGAAGTTTTTTCAAGTAATAAATGCCACAGTAGTAAAAGTGAGATGTAGTTATGATTAGTTAGAAATATAATGTTGAAAATCATAATTCTTGGTTATTGAAAACTCCTTTAGCAGGTGACCTATTGTCTCAGAACAAAGGAAACTAGACGATCATGGATCGCTTACGTGGGCTTCCTGTGACAATGGTGTTTCATTTTCACAATATAGTCTTTGTTTGTAATAAGTCAAGACAGAATTAAGTTAATATGTTATCAAGTTATTACATCATAATTTTTTACCGAACTGAACTCTAAGTTATAAATTGGATACCATGTCTTTCTCAGTTTTCCAAAATAACTAGCTCGACTTTACGCTCAAGAGCGTCTATATTATTCGAAATATCTGATAGGTCATATAGGTCACATAAACAATAGAAACGGTACAGTCTTGGCAGTATAACTTTGAATAATATTTTGATCATTTTAATCATGTATCTGTATCTTGTGTTTCTGTTCTTTTTTATTTTGTGTTTATCATTAATTTGTAAATCTGGCGTTCTGTGCCATCATAAAGATGTACCTTAGCCTTCTAATGACAGTTCATATTTTTGGATTTGTCTAAGTTTTTCAAGTTAAACAATCATCAAAACAAACAATAGAGAATTAAAATGCTTCATACACAATATATATTTTGTATACAGAGTTCAGTAAAGCTCACACGTGCANGTTAGACAGAATTTGAAGCGAAAAGAAATATTAGACTTTATGGAAAGAGACTACACACATTACCAGTGGAGTTTACCAACTCTTGCTCGTCGGCTTCGGCATTTTGGGATAAAATACATCGACTATGGGACTCCATTGGCGACTATTTCCGACGCTATTGAAAAGGAACTCAATGGCCCTGGTAAGTTACTAGGTTACAGGGCGTTAAACCAAAAATTGAGGACTGAACACAATGTGAAAGTTCCCAGGCACTTGGTCCATAACATGCTTGCCGAACTAGACCCAGACGGACTCGAAAKTAGGAGAGTGGATAAGAAGCCAAAGAAAAAAAGGCGTCCTTTCACATCCGTCAAGGTCCATTGTGGGTTGCTTCACTCGACGGACACGACAAATTATGTGGTTACCAAAATTGGACCTTTCCGTTAGGAGTTTATGGATGTATGGACACTTTTTCGCGAAAGATTCTTTCCTGTTTGTATGTCGTTCCAATTCAAGCCCAATTGTCGTAGGTAAAAAGTACATAGAATACTTATTCAAAGAACAAATGATGCCGAGGTACCTCCGCGTAGATAAAGGAACAGAAACCGGGAAGATGGCTACTGCTCACGTCTATCTCATCGATAAGTTTGGTATAATGGAAGATCCTGTCGATTCGATTATCTATGGACCTTCAACATCGAACAAAATAGAAAGATGGTGGAGGGATTTACACGAAAGACTAGAACGTTATTTCAAAGAGCAATTAACGCAGCTATTGCGAAGCAGAGATTACGATCCATACAATGAGGTTGATCGGGAAATAATGTCTTATATATACATTCCAGTAATCCAAAGAGAAGCCAGTACATTTGTTGATAATTGGAATTCGCACAGAATAAGAGATCAAGATAANATTTTGTATACAGAGTTCAGTAAAGCTCACACGTGCAGTTTTCCGAACTTCAAACACATCGTTAGTTTAGAAAATGGCATCAATATTTTTCAGATGAGGTTTGATATGCTTTCTTCCATCGAATGATTGTTTTCTGTCAAAGTATGAACCTTAAATATCCATGCGATTTCTTATTTTTGAAGATTTTGTGTTTGACATCGAACACTTGAAATGTGTGTCGAAGAAGTAGTGCTCTTCGAGTCGGCGGTAGAAAATGCCTAGTCATTTCTGCACGAATCATCCGCTAATCTTGAATTATATACCTCAATCCATGTCGTTTGGATGGTAATCAGTTGATTTTGTAAGATTTTCAGCTCTTTAGAGCATTTTAGCTACATTTTAGAACCATTTGAAATGAGACAACTTTTTGCCGCCGTCTGTCAGCCATTTTGTTTTCATTCTGAGACTGCAGTCCATCTGCAACGCAGGCGCTACCAAAAATCGCTGATTGGTTTATTTTGACATCTCCATGGAAACTGAGACTGCAACGCATGCGCTATCGATGCGCTACCAATTTGAAGCGTAATATTCACCACGACGAAATCGCCAGTTGCATTTTAAGACGCGGACTTCCACAGGAAGCCCACGTAATCATTAACCTTTTCTTCACTGGATAGTAATTTATGCGATCGTTGAACCAGACAGTGGAATAGACTAGTCAAATGCCGGACGATCAAACACAAACGAACTTTGCGATAAATTAGGACAATTGGATATCATCACTGAGGATTTAAACACAAATATATGATGGGGTGATCGTCGAATATGAGTGTTTATTTGGAACCCGTAAMAGTCAAGGAAATAATAAGTCAAGCAAAAATACAAGGTCACGTCAATCTGTATTTGAACTATCAACAACTGAAGGAGCTCCCAGAAGAACTGCTTGAGCTCCAGAAAGTAGAAAAGATATTTTTGAAGTGCAATATTTTAAAACAATTGGTAAGATTTCCACTATAATAATTTACGAATTTAGTATTTTGTAAATTTATGTTAAGTTATTAAGAGGCAGTCTCTGTAAAAGCGGTCTACTGCATTTCGGGTCAGAAAATAGATTTCTCTCAAACTCTTACTATCAAAAGGCAATTATAAGTATGTAATCACAGTGGCATTCTTTTTTCGAAATTCGTCAAAATAATTTTTTTACGCCCCATAATCTCAAGACCACCTTCGCCACCTAATTTGCATTGTTCATCAATTGAAAATTGCACAAATTCAAACTGTCATAGCTCGTAAAATATGAAACTCTGGAACAAATTAGTATTTTCTCTGACTTTAATAATCATTCAGGTATAAAAAGCATGCAAACTTT